GAAACTGCTAATCCACTTTCTGTCTTCGTAGGTTGGCCTTTTCTGGATATTTTACATGAATAGAATCATACAATATGTAGTTTTAGCATCTTTTACCTAGCATCATGTTTTTGAGGTTCATCTGTCAGTTTTCCTCAATGGTTGCTCCCTTTTATTTTATTTCCACAACTTTTATCTTAGAATCAGGGGGTACATGTGCAGGCTTGGTACAAAGGTAAATATACAGTCTGAAAGAATCTGTCACCCTTACCCCCCTTCCTTCTTCCCCTCTCTTATATTGCTGCAGTATCTGTTGTACCCAACTTTATGTCCATATGTACCCAATGTTTAGTTCCCACTTTTAAGTGAGAGCATGCGATGCTTGGTTTTCTGTTTGTGTTAGTTTAGTATAATTGCTTTCAGCTACATCCATGTTGCTGCAAAGGTATGATTTCATTCTTTTTTAGTGTCTGCGTAGTATTCCTTGGTGTTTATATACCACAATTTCTTTAAAAAATTTTTTTAAATTTCAATTTTTATTTTAAATTCAGGGGTAGATGTGCAGATTTGTTACCTGGGTAGTTTGAGTGATGCTGAGTTTTAGGGTGTGGATCCTGTCATCCAGGTAGTAAGCATAGTACCCAATAGGTAGTTTTTCAACCCACACCTTCCTCTCTCCCCACTCTAATAGTCCCCAGTACCACATTTTCTTTATTTAATTCATTGTTGATGGGTACATGGGTTGATTTCCTGTCTTTCCTATTGTGAATGAACATACGGGTGCATGTGTCTTTTTGGTAGAACTATTTATTTTCCTTTGGGTCTGTATTCTGTAATGGGATTGCTGGGTTGAATGGTAGTCCAACTCTCAGTTAGCTGAGAAATCTCCAAACTGCTCTCCACAGTAGATGAACTAATTTACATTTCTGTCAACATTAGAAGTGTTCCCTTTTCTCTGTAGCCTCATGAGTGTGTTATTTTTTGACTTTTTAACAAAAGCCATTCTGACTAGTGTGAGATGGTATCTCATTGCGGTTTTTATTTGCATTTCTCTGATGATTAGCGATGGTGAACATTTATTCATATGTTTGTTGGCTAATTGTATGTCTTCTTTTGAGAAGTGTCTGTTCATGTCTATTGCCCATTTTAAAAATGAAGTTGTTTTTCTTGTTGATTTGTTTAAATTCCTTATACCTCATTCTGTGGGTTGTATGTTTATTCTGTTGATAACTTCTACTGCTGTGCAGAAGCTCTTTGGTTTAATTAGGTCCTACTTGCCAATTTTTGTTTTTGTTGCAATTGTGTTTGAGGAGTTAGGCATAAATTCGTTGCCATAGCTGATATTGAGAGGTGTATTTCCTATCTTTTCTTCTAGGATTTTTATAGTTTGAGGTCTTACTTACATTTTAAGTCTTTGATCCACCTTGAGTTAATTTTAGTATATGATGATAGTAGGGATCCAGTTTCCTTCTTCTGCATATGGATACCCAGCTATCCCAGCACCATTTATTAAATAGGGAGTCTCTTCCCCATGCTTATTTTTTGTTGACTTTGTCATATTGATAGTTGTAGGTGTGCAGCTCTATTTCTGGATTCTCTATTTTATTGGTCTATGTATCTGTTTTTGTACCAATACCATGTTGTTTTGGTTACTGTAGACTTGTAATATACTTTGAATTTGGGTAATGTGATGCCTCCAGGTTGCCCTATTTTGTATTCTTACCAGCAGTGTATGAGGATTCTGTTTCTCCCCATCCTTACATCACTTATTGTTGTCCATTTAAAAAAAAATATAGCTATTCGAGTAGGTGTGTAATGATAGCTCACTGTGGTTTTATTTTGCATTTTCTTAATGATGTTGAATATTTTTTCATATGTTTATTAGACTATAATTTTTTGATCAAATTTGCCATATACATTTCTCCCACCATGCCTTTGCTTATGTCATTTTTGCTACATGTATTTCTCCTTTCTTTCCTTCATCTTCCTTTGTGGAAGATTTCCAGAGACCCTTTTGTCTTTCAGGCTTTTTCTGTTTCACCAGGCCTTTTCCAGTTATCTGTGATCTCTTCTGACTTTAAACCGTAGGAGCACTATGATTAAACCTCTGTTGTGAAATTTACTTATATTATTCTGTCTTATATTATGGTTTCTTGCGTACTTCCATCTTTTCTCCTGATGAGCTTGGATGGACACCTGGGGCTATTTCTGTGCTTGCCCACCAAAGCACAGGACAGTAACATAATGGAAGTACTCCATGACTGTTTGCCAAATAGACCTCAGAGAAAGATGTATGTTAAAGAAGAGATGGCTTATTCTTCTATTTGTTTTCATGTTCCCTGTTCTCTTTAGGGCATGAAATCCAGTACTGATCATCTCAACTGTTTTCTACTCTGCGCCTATGGGTCCCTTGCTCTATACATCACTTTCCTTTAGGAAGCTTAGCCTCATCAGAACACTGTCTCTTTTCCTGCTGCCACTTGAAATTCATGCCTCCAGACTCATTTGTCTAAAATGTTGGTTTCACCTTGGTCAGTCACCTCTCTGATTCTCTTAGCCAGTCAGCAGTCACCTCAAGCTTACTACTCAGCCCTCTTTCTCTCTCTCCCAGCAAGACCCTCAGCTATGTCTCCCTCATTGTCTCACCAACCTTTCTAGAAACTTGTCTACATCTATTCCCAACTTTTTTTGCTGTCCTTCTTGGCTCAAAGGATCAGGTACTTAATTTCTCTTTAAGATCAGCCCTTCCTTGATCCCTTTGACCTTCCACTAGCTTCTGGAATACTGATTTATGTAAGAGTTAGTTTTTCTGGCTGTTATATTTTTTATCTTTCCCTTGTTCTTTTGCTTCCTTACAGCCTAAAAACATGTTGAGGTTTATGCCAGCATAGATCTGATCCTCCAACTTTTCTTTGTGTTTCTCTTCTAAATGCAACCTATCTTTTTCTCCTTTTCACACGTGTCTCATAAGATCCACTGTACTTTTATTTTTCTGCTTTCTTACATCTTATTTCATGTGTCCTCTACTTAAAATATACATATATATGGTTAAAAAAAATCTTGGCCACAGACCACAGAAGAACTTAAATTTTGTGTGTGTGTGTGTGTGTATGCTTTCTATACCTCCAATATAGTGCAGACCCTACATATGCATACGGGAATAATTATATGCAGAAATGCAGCCTTCTTTTAGCCAGAAAGGATGCCTGGAACATGTGGATAAGCTTGGATATTTGTCTAATGTTAATTGGAATATTGGTTTTCAGTTGAAGATGCCAAATCTTCATAAAAGTAATTGGATTCAGCTTCCTATTTAGCAAACTACTTCAAATCCCTAAAGTATCCCACATCCGAAACTAATTTTTCTTGATAGTATCAAGTTCAGTCATGAGTGGAACAAGGGTTGACATAGTTTTTTAATATTTAAAATATTTTTTGAGAAGGTTTCAACACTCTTGCTTGTCCACAAACCTATTGTTAAGCACACTAAGTACAGATGCAATCTTTGTGTTTTGCGGAGCTAGTTTAAAAACCTTGCAAAACTGTTTTCTTGAGGTAAACCACATTTATTCCTTTTTCTTATACACATAAATTTAAACTTAGATTTTGATCATATTTCAAGAAACAACACAAAAATGGTGTATTCTTATTGCTTTTTACATGAACTTCTGTATGTACTTAATTTAACTTCTGTAGATTCAGTCTAGGAAATACATTTTATGGTCGTTTTCAGTCTGAAAAGTGTTATTCAGTCTACATATGTTCAGTGTAACGTGTAAGAATATTTGGGGATAGTAAGGAAAAAAGCTCTTAGAATGAATATTATTTTATCATTAAAATTTAGAGATTAGAGATTCAGTTTACCGGACTGTACTATCAAATATTTATCAAGCATCTACTCTACGTAGGGGTCTTTAAGATTGGAGGAGGTATATAAAGATGTTTATAATATGGTGTATGGCCTAAGGAGCATGACGTTTATACAGATAATAATTATAAGCATGGATAAATATTACTTCTTATTGTAGTCATTTGCCATTGAGGATGATTATTTACATATCTGAAAAAATAAAATGGTGTTTAAGTGAAATATGAGCAGGATACATCATACATAATTTTTGTTGTTGTTGTTGTTGTCTAATCTTTTATTTCAAGGTATTATCATGACTTCCTTGGCAAATGAAGTGACAAACAGGTTGATTAATAGATTAGTCATTTAACTTGATTTTCCTTTTTGTGGTTTCTATTTGTTTCTCTATGTGGCCACGGGTGCATTTAGCTTAATTTTTCAGCTACTTTTTATAAGGAGCATAACACAGAAGGATAACAGTTTTTCACTGAAATTCTATGTATATGTATAGATATGAGGTACAAAACATTGTTGGCAATCTTGCTGAGACTGTCTATCCTGAGGCCATATTTCACCTGATCAAGAATTTTAAGTAAGCCCAGCTATAAATAGACCAATGAAGTGACATAGAGGTCAAGTATTGCTTGAATGTAAAAATCTTAATTAATAGAGCAATTTATTAGTAAATGTCAGTTTTTGTCTCTCTCTTTGATTCTTGACAGACATTCTGACAGCATTTAGAATAACAAAAGAACAGATATGCTTTACATTACTGTATCATTAGACCTGGAGGAAGAATAAATTTAAATATGACACTTTAAACATAAAAACCATATTCACAACCATGAGTGAGGAGATTTAAAGAACATTTAACTAAAATGTATTACATGAAAATCATTTTGGTTGAAATTAGCGACTAATAGGAACTACATAGCCCAATGATAGGTTATTCTAATGTATTTTTGTAATAGATCCCATCTTGTTAGAAAAAAATTCATAGCCATGCTTCTGTGTCATTTTTTCTTCCAAGACCTTAAACTATGTACAGTACAGGTAAGTACTGTACAATTTAGTTGAATTGGATTTTCAGCCTGTTTTTAGTTTGTCTCCAGAGTAGGACTAACTGCCAGACCTAACATTGTTCACTACTATGCTGCTGTGCGCATTCTAGGTGCTCAGTACATATTTGTTGAACTCTCTGGTCCTGTCCCAAGGGCAATTGGCATTTCTTCAGGGAGTTTCTGAAGGTGTGCCTTCTGTTTTTGCCAGTAATTTCCCTGGGACCAGGAAATTATTTTGCTAATGAGATATGCACTTTACAACTTGCATGCCTATGCTTATAATTCCTGTTCCTGGAGTTCAGCAGTCATTGCAGGTGCTCCTTTGCTTTGACTGTGTTTTAACTATCAAGTTGTTTTGGGACTCCCAGTTTTGTCACAATGGAATTTTTTTTAGATCCATTTATGCTTAAAAAGCAATTATCATCTTGGAACAAGAATAGGTCCCATCATCTTTCTGGTGTTAAGTTGCAAACATTTGAAAGTTTATGCTTTATATCACTTGAGGTAAATTACTTGCTACATCCGAGTTAGATATATAGTTCTTTTTAAAGCATATTTTTCATGAGCCTGAATCATAGGACTAGAAATGACATTATAAAATAGTTCATCTTTTCAAATTTTGGTTTCTAGCTTGATAGCATTCTTCCTTGAGTTAGGCTTTTATTCTTAAAATAAAAATGATTTTACATAAAATTCTGAAAGCTGTTGACTACAATGTTTGATATAGTTAGTAGGGAATGTTATGGAATAATTGGACACTCAGGACCTAGAAAAAGAGTCAAGTCATTTTTTACTATGAGTAAATTTTTCTGGTCTCCTCATAGTTAATACTGGATAATAAGTTAAATGGCAGGTTTGATAGCCTTCAATCAAGTACTGACTCAGATAAAATACAGTTTCAATAGTAAAGGTGTGGCGAACCAGGCGTGCCTACAACTCTTGGTATCAAAAAATCCTGGCAGTCTCACACCTACTGTCGTCTGTTTTAACTATCAATTTTATCTAGGTGGAGAATCCACTGGGACCATGAATGATAATTTAATTAATGATTTCTTTATTAAGACTTAGGCTGAGTTTAATTTTTTCTTTTGACTATTCTTTTTTAAATAAAGATTCTTTTCTTAAGATAGTTTTCTACAATGGTAATTACAAAGTCAAAGAACAGTAGCATTTTAAGGCCTAAACTACAGGATTACTACTAATTTTATGAGTTGATGCAGCATAGAAAATGTGTGGGTGATTCTTTAAGTAGTCCCTGACACTGTCTTCATTTACTAGTGTACATCAGTATGACTGTTTTCAGATTCAGTTCTATTTTAGTACATTATGGGCTAAAAGAATCTTTGGGGTGAGTTTTTGAAATAAACACAGTTTACAGCATTGTCTCACTGGGGAAATTCCTTCTATGGGCTTGAATACAATAAACATACTTTTGGAATGTTATAAATCATTTAAGTTGGATACTTCCTCTTTTTATAATTTCATATTCCTAGATTTGGGACATTGCAACTGACCTTAGTCATGTAGTCCAACCTTCTACTGGGCATAAAAACTCTGTCATTCAATGCAATCTAAGATTACATTAGCAAATAATTTTCATCTCCTATTATGATTTTGAACAATTTGTAATGACTGCCAAAAATGTTGAGTTGAGAGAGACTCTTAGGTTTATCCAGGCTCCAAGACAAAGGTTGCCATAACTGTTTAGCAGAGTCTGTTAAGATCATGGGAATTCACAATGTTTTAGTATATGCCTGACTATAAGAAAGGAGATTTTCTAGCTAATCAGAGTGAGTTTTCACGGTCAACTTTTGGTTAACATAAGTCTTAGTACCATTTTCTCTTTCAAATGGCCAGTCTTTCATTCAGCCAAGTTCATTGGGAACTTCACCAAAAGATGAAAAAACAGAAAATAGATCAGGTAAAGAGGAGAGAGAGAAAGAATAAAGGTTTCTAATGACTTGCTACATCCACTTTCTAAGTTTGGGCACTTTTATTTTTGCCAAGGGTTAAACCTAGGTGATTGAGACTATATTCTGGTCCAATGTGCAGCCACTAGGTCCTAGGTTCTTTGAGGATAGGGGCCATGTCCATCTTGTTCACTTTACCAAGCACAATGCCTTGCATACAGAATGCCTAGCGTAGCCTAGGCGTCTCGATAAGTTTATAGAGTGAATTACTACAGCCCTTGGCATCTTTGGAGGAAATTTAAAATGAGCTCTCAGTGCTCTTGAAAGTAGCATTGTGTTGGTTCGTCTGGCTTTGTAAATTTTTGATTACAAATGTGTGTTAATGGACAGTTTTATCTTCTGTAAAGGAGTAAAAATGAAAAGGTTGATCATTAGATAAATTTTTGATTACAAATGTGTGTTAATGGACAAATCCATGTATTCACTTGTTGCTGGTTGTGGTTGTGATAGTGCCTTTGAGATTTGCAGTGTGCCATTTCTGTGGAAGGGCTGCTTTTGGTCAGAGGAAGACTGATGATGTATTTTAACCCCTGATGACTAGGAACAAAAACTGACCATGCAAAAACCCTCTCCCTTGGGAGACTGAGTGTGTGGCCAGTGTTTGGCAGGGTGACTTCTTGCAGTGGAATTCTGAAGCTCAGACTTGTGTTCTCTTTCTTTTTTGCCAACCTTTGGGGCTAGGTCATGAAGGGTCTTTTCACAGTGGAAACCATTTTCGCTCAATTAATTGGATGAAAACAAAGGCTGCCCCATGCCCTGTGGTTATTGCTTTACAAGCTAGAGGCTCAGATTGAATTGCAGGCTCCCTAGGTTGTTGGAGACAGGAATGCTGTGGTGGCTCCACCCCCATGGAGAGCGCTGGGTTTGAAAGCATCGTGTAGCCACCTTTCTGGTTGACTTAATAGGGCAGAAGGTAACTGCAAGAGAAGTCTTTTCCAGTCTTGCAAACTGTTGAGAAGACATTATGGGAATATGTTAACAAAACTCCTTAAAAGTTTTGTGATCCATTTCCTTTTTTTAAAAAAGAAACAACACACAAAACGTGCCAATCAGATGGCAGAACCCAGAGTCCTTCATGTCACAATGTGTCCATTTACTACAGCATTTAGTAGATCAATAATACCTTTAGCTTGAAGTAGTTAACAAGCATACCTTTCAGTGTTACTTTTATTTTCTGCTCCCTGTAGCAGTTAGCAAAATCCCATTATGCAATTGGGTAGTATTAAATGTTAAAAAGTTAATTTGTTCTGCATTCCATTAAAATTGCTCTTTTTTTCATGTGAATTGGTCCTTACATCTTGTTTAAAACCTATAATTTAAACTCATACTATAGTAAAGTCTTGAGTAACCTTTTGCCCTTGCTACCTTAATTATTCTTCATCACACACATTATTTCAGGATTCTGACAATGGGTTAACTATTTGCTAGTTAATGAAAATATCTGTCAATTAAGCAATATATGGACTTAAGTTTTAATTAAAATTGTACATCAAAAATGAAATAAAATGTACTTTTTTTGATGAAAATAGATTTAAAAAATATTGCTTTCTTTCTTTTTGAAATAACCATTCTTTGGTTGAGGCCAAATGATTGATTAAGCTGTTGATGGAAATGGGGAGCTTGTTTCCATTTTAAAGTATTAAAACATTTGCTTTTTAAATGCAATAGTTTTCTAATTAAGTTCACTGTCACCTTATATAAATATGCTTAGAGATTGTCTTATGATAATAAAATGTTGTGGAACCAGATCTTAATAGTGGTGTGGAATCTTATTTCTTGATTCCAAATGTGTTAGATAACTTTTTTTTTGGTATTTTTCAAACTTGTAGTGAATAAATAATAAGTAGGAAATGAAATTTCCTGAAACTAAGCTAAATATTTTAAGAGCATTTGGTGCTTTGTTTGGCCTATTTTTGTTTGATGATCTGTATACTTCATTAAAAATCAGGTTCAGAGAGATTACTGATAATTGCAAACTTTATTCTCAGCAGCAGAGAGTGTCTGGCATATGAAGCCCTTAAAATTACCTTTAAGATTTTTAGCCTAGAGAGTTAACATCTTTATGCCACATAAAAACAAAACAAAATAAAACAAAAAAACAAAACAAAGCAAAAAAACCAGGAACAACAACAAAAATGACACACACACACAAAAAAACCCCAAAAATATTGGTTGGTGGGGGGCAGGTGGTGAAAGAAAGATATGAACAGATTCTGAGAATAATGGAGTTTTGAATTTGAAGAAGTCTTGGAAATTAGGTTTAGTTACCTCATTTCACAGGAGAATAAAAAGAAGTCTTAAATATTCAATGACCTGTCCAAGATTCTGCACTATTAATAACTGAGATGGGACAAGAACTGGGGCTTCTGAGATGGTTTGTTGGTTTTGAAAGAGATTCTGGGGTCAGAAAATCTATTTTTCAACCCTGACTACCTTTGTAACCTCTCGCAGATGATTGAAGTGCTCTGAACCTCAGTTTTATCTTCTCTAAAATGGGGCTAATATTCCGTTGGGTGATTTCATGAGATAATGGATTTAGAGACCGAGCTTAGGTTCTGCCCTTTCCAAATGTCTTAACGGTATTGGCTCTCTTCCCTTTGCTAGGTCAGTGTCTTCTCCACAATACACTGTTGTCTTGTAGCAGGTCATTTATGCAAAACAAGACCCTGGCTATTTTGGCGGTGAGGTCTGGGTTTGCTGCCTGACCAGGACCAGACACAGGGGGACACTAGTATGCACCTGGCTTATGATGATACTGTTACCAGGTTTGCGCAGGAATCCATGCTGAAGCCTTTCGGCAGGTGCTTTTGTTCTGTGGCCTCGGGTCTCCTGCATTTCCTCACTCTTGTTTGATACCACAGCCGAAAAATCCACAGAGACAGTGATGATGCTGAGGAACCCGCTGCCTTTTTTTTTTTTTTTTTTTTGGAAAAGAAATGTTCCATGGAAACTTTTCCTGTGAATCCTCTTTGAAAGATTTATGTAGATTATAAAGTCAAAAGAAGGGGTCACTCAAGACTTTTCTTTCCAGGCAGAGAGGCCAAAACATAATTTTAGCAGGTATTAGTAAAAACTGAGAAGTATTTTGTGTATGCTGGGATTCTTGCCAACATCTGTGTTTGCAACTCCCAAGACATTGCTAAGGTGAAAGTTTTTCTTCACTACTCTTGGAAGATCGTTGAAACCAGCCGGCCACTATTCTTTTCCATTGCATCTGTATTATTGAGGCCTCTCTAGACATTGTTTTATGGAATCATGGGCCAACACAAATTGATTTGCTTTTCAGCAAGAGAACTTCATGCTGAATGTTGACTGCAGGTGTGTTTTGGAGGAGGCAGTAAAGGAGTAAAAATGAAAGGATTGATCAGTACATAAAGCAGGTGTAAGTCATTTGGCTATTTAAACTGTAGAATGGCCTGCTTTAATTTGATTTTATTTTTTTACTGTAAATAAATTATTCTACAAACTAGGAGTCCAAGTACGTACATCCAAGGAATTTAAAGCGACTTTTACATGATTGAAGATAGAACTTTGAATTTGTTTAGAAAAGATAAGAAAAGATCTAGTCCTGAGGGAGTACAAAACATATACCATTTAAAAATACTTCCTCTAGTACATCATAATCACTGGTTAATCATAATCAACTATTGCATGTATAGCCATTTATTAATATGTGAGCGTGATGATACTTGGTGTGTACGTTTGTAAACTATATCAATTTTATTAGTTGAAAATATTCTTAATTATTCATAGACATGTATAAACCTACATGAGGACATTTTAACCAGATGTAGCAAAGACCTAGGCATACTTTATTGATCATTTTGTATAGAACATCAGGGAATGTTCCAGCAGAGTGCAGCAAAAGCTAGTTATTGCAAAACATACTTTTGTCTTTTCTTAGTCTGGAATATAGAGATATAGAGGAATTTCAGATTTAAAAAATGATGGAAACAAACAGCAGAGACCTTGGAACAGTGTTCTATGTGCAGCACTGCTCCCTATCCTCTGAGAAAGCCTCAAACAAGAAAAGCATTCTCTAATTTACTAAGTAACACTAATCTTTCTTAAAGAAAGGACAAGGTGGTACCTTCAGATAACACTTGATAATTAGCATGGTGTATTTTTACTTTCTTTTCAATATAACTTTTAAAAAGTACACAAGTACTAAATATCAGAATTCTTTGTCAGAAAATACAGATAAGGAAAGGAAATAAAAGTAAACATTACCCTAATCCTACCACCCAGAAAGAAATCATAGTTTAAAGTTAGTATATAGCCTTCCAGATTTATGAATGTGTTAGATTATGTATAAATATAAATAAGAGATAGAAATAGTTTTAAATTGGGTCATAAGGTACATACTGTTTGGAAAGTGCTTTTTCTTATAAATATAAATTATATGTATGGTTATAGCTTCTATAACTTTTCATAAATATAGTTAACTCTAGTTGCTAGTTTCAGTTATGTTTGTATGGTATGCTTCTGTCTTTTAAAAAATGTGTGGCATATTGCTTCACAGTAACATGTAAGTAATTCATTTTACTTTGTGAATAAATATTATTCTGATGCAGACCACTGTATATTTGATGTGTACCACAAGGAATAAATATTTACTGTCGCAGAATTAGTTGATTTTTCTTACTGTTGGTGATTTACTTTAAGAAGCTTCTCTTCCTAACTTCTAGCCCATTTTTAGAGAGAGAGTGATATTTTTTACCAGTTTGTGATTACACAATGATGATACTTTAAATGTGTTGGTGTTTGTAAGAATATTGGCTAAGTAGGAAAATAATTGCCCAACTTTTTCTGCTTTCTAGATACCACAATTCAATTACTTTTGTCCTGCTTTAAATTCCTACTTTATAATAATAATGCCTTAGGTTTATAATATGATAACTTAAGAAAAGAAGCACAAAAGATCATATTTGGCTTTCAACAATGAGAAAAGAGCTAATTACCAGAGAAACAGAGCTATCAGGCTTTTTTTTAGAAGAGTATAACTAAGAAATTTGAATATTCAGTTTATTTTTTATTTTTAAAAATCAGAGACAGGGTCTTGCTATGTTGCCCAGGCTGGTCTCAAATTCATGGGCTGAAGCAATCCTCTCGCCTTTGCCTCCTAAAGTGCTGGGATTACAGGCATGAGCCATCTGTGCCTGGCCTCAGTTTACATATGAGCACATCTATTTGAATTCTGTCTGGCACATGAATGTCCCTGAAGGAATACTGACTGGGAGAGAACTTGGGGTGACCAGGTCAATGACCTTTCTATCAGAAGTGAGTGCCACGTTCCAGTCAGGCCAGGAGAGTGATCATGAGTGCTGGGGATCAGAACACTTTGCTGATTAAGGAGCTAGAAAGTCAGCCAAATTGGAAGCTGTAGCCATGTTAAAGTTATTACAGAAGCTACCTGCTGAGGGGTTGAGACATTAACAAGCCTGGCTATGTGATAAGGTTGACCACAGAAGCACAAGTGTGAACCTGATTCTGTAGCAGAGAACATCTGCCTCTGCTACTGGGGTCAGGAACAGCCTTGAGACTGTGGGAATGCAGCAGAGGAGACATGTATCACCTTGCTGTAACCACTGGTTCTTCAAGCACAAAATCAAAAAGATAGAATTTTAAAATGAAATGTATACTTTGTGTGTGTGTGTGTGTGTGTGTGTGTGTGTGTGTGTGTGTGTGTTTCTATCTATAAGGGGATGAGAAAAAGATTTTTGAATCAGGGCCCATGGGTGTGCACACTGTGCTTCTGGTAGCAGGGTCTAGGATTAAGGGGGCCTTTTATATGATGTGTGAAGAATATATAAATGGCAAAAATAAAAATATTTAAAAATCTTCCGTTGGTTTAGCAACACAATTCAAAGTCAGTAAACTTCAGAAATTATAGATGCCCCAGGAAATAAATTAAAGGACTTGGATCATTACTTTACAAATATAAGCATACCAGGACATTTTGAGACCAAATTTAGTTTCTGTTGCTACTTCAAAGATAAAACTTGAAGTCTTTTTATGTTAATTTAAACCTCTCTAAAAACCTTGTAATTGGGGTAAGTAGCCACTGGGGGGTAGCCATGATTTGGTTAAAATTACAAGTCTGACTAGTGAAGGTTTTTCCCAGGTGGGAAAGTGAAAGGACCACTTTGATTCCTTTTGAACTAAAGCAAATAAAATGAAAAGAAAGTTCACTAAATTTTACTAAACTTTGAATTAATTTCTTGACTTTGTTTAAAGGACATTTTTTTGAATTTTCAGCTACTAAGTGGCATTTTTTGCTCCGGCCACCAACAACAAACTTGACGTTAACTAATGATGAACTTTGCTTTTCTCATCACCTTGTAGCTAGAAAAACACACACATATACCACGCATATTGTATATTTTAAAAAATTATATCTTTTTGGTTTTGTGCTTGAAGAACAAGTAGTTCCAGCAAGGTGATTATGGAAGAATATAGGAAAACTTGGCTTATCATTTCCAAAGAACAGAGAGAAGATTACTTTCTATTCTTATAAAAAGAACTATTCATTTTCCAAAGAACAGTTTTCTGCTGCCGGCTAGATGCTGCTTGAAATGTATACACTTGATACTTTAGTAGTTCTGAAATTTGCTTTGGGTTCAGTCTGGAGGGGAGCATTAAAAAATACAGATTCCTGAGCTCCACCCTTAGATTCACTGAACTTCAAGGGAGAAAGGATGTTTTTTTAAAAGGTTCCCTGGTGATTCTGAGGCAGGGTCCAGGAAAATGTCTGGCAGCCTTCTCTCTTGTAATGTGTGAGAACGACACTAGTAAAAGAATATCTCAAAACTAACTTTAAAAAAGTTCCCATTATTAGAAACAGGTATTTAAAAATATCTACAAATAGCACATGTAATAAGACTTTAAGCAGAGGGTTTAACAGAATTTTGTAGAAAATTTTAATATGCAGACCATAGTGCAATGAAATTTCTTATTTGGGGGTTTCTACTTTATACTGATAGCCGTATAATTATAAGATTTTCTTTTTTAATTTTGGAAATGGAAATGTACTTTCTTATTTAGCTGCTATTTAAGAAAGATCTAGAATGTCAGAGTAATTGAAATTCCTTTTATAACTTTACTGAAGAGATTTGCTCACTCAGAGTAATGGATGTGCCATACTCACAATCATGTTATGGTAAAAAATTTAAAAAGTTTATGATTTGTTGGATATAATTTAATATTTTAAAAATGTTTATTAACTTCTTCTTCCCCTAAACTATGAAATAAAGGGGAAGTGATCACATTCTGTTTTACAGACAAGAAACTGAGCAGTGAGGAGGAAAACCACTTATCTAAGGACATTCTAATCTACAGTAAACACACAGAAGAGTATTGGATTATTTTGATTCCTGTGCCATTTTGTTATCTACCATTCTACTGTAAAAGGAGAAGTTCTCCTCCCTTCCCAACCCCATATCTAAACTTACAGACTGGTTATAGATCCCACTGTTAGTCTTCCTACCTAGACCCGACTTTATTCAGTGGAGCTCAATTATTAATTACTATTAATTAATTTTTATCATTACTTAAAGTATGGTGACAATACAAACAGGCACACTTAAAAAAATTATTTTAAGTTCCAGGGTACATCCAGGCAGGATGTGCAGGTTTGTTACATAGGTAAACATGTGCCATGGTGGTTTGCTGCACCTATCAACCCATCACCTAGGTATTAAGCCTAGTATGCATTAACTGTTTTTCCTAACGCTCTCCCTCCCCCAACCCTACCCCCTGAGAGGCCCCAGTGTGTGTTGTTTCCCTCCCTGTGTCCATATGTTCTCATAGGTACACTTTTGAGAGACAATCTAGTCAAGTGATGGATGGACACCAGCTTGCCTGTCTGGTCTTTTCTCCCAAAAGGCTCAGAAGCTAAAGGCACTGTTATGAGAGGAGTTG